GTAGTCATCTCCTTTTATCCTCATAACAACCTTGAAGGCAGTTCCCGAGTTGAAAATGCAAAGGAATATTGTAGCCAAACTACCCAGGAAAACTGAGCATAATCTTTCAGGGGAGGAGATGGACATTCAATAAAACAGGGGACTTCCAAACCTTCCTGATGAAAAAACCAGAGCTCAATAGAAAATTTGATCGTCAAGTACAAGACTCAAGAGAGGCATAAAAAGGTAAACAGGAAAGAAAAAGACAAAATAAAACGTTATTCAATAAGGGCAAACTGTTTATATGTCTACATGGGAAGATGATACATGTAACTCTTAAGAATTGTATCTTTATTACAACATTTAGAAGGGGAATACATAGGCAGAGGGTATGGGTATAAGTTGACTTTGATGTGATGATAAAAAAATCTAAGTCGTGAAAAGGCATTGTACTGAAAGAAGAGGAAAGCAGGAGGAAAAAAAGGTGATCATATTAGGTGCAAAGACCTGTTACAGTAGAGGGAAAGAAGGAAGAGTGATTAGCATTGCTTGAACTTTACTCTTATCATATTTGGCTCAAAGAGGGAATTACATACTCAGGTAAAGAAATCTAATTTACCCTATAGAAAGTAGAAGAGGAAAGGGGAAAGAAAAGGGAGAGGTAGATAGAAAGGAGGGAAGAAGTAGTAAGGGAAAAGGGAAAAAAAGGGAGGCGAATGATAGAAGGGAGGGCAGATTGAGGGAGATAATGGTCTAAAGCAAAATTCTAGTGAGGAAAGGAAAGAGAGAAAGGAGAGAAAAGCATAAACAGGGAGGAAAATAGGATGGTGAGAAAGACCAAGAGTAATCATAACTGTGAATATGAATGGGATGAACTTTCCCATAGAACGGAAGTGGATAGCAGAGTGGATTAAAAACCATAATCCTACAATGTGTTGTTTACAGGAAACACATTCGAAGAATAGGGATACACACAGAGTAAAGGTAAAAGGCTGGAGTAGAATACATTATGCTTCAGCTGATAAAAAAAAAAAGCAGGGGTAGCAATCCTGATCTCAGACAAAAGGAAAGTAAAAATAGATCTAATTTAAAGATATAAGAAAGGAAACTGTATCATGCTAAAAAGTACCATAGACAATGAAGTAATATCATTACTAAACATATGCACCAAGTGGTATAGCATCCAAATTCTTAATGAAGAAGTAAAGAGAGTTACAGGAAGGAACAGACAGGAAAATTATACTACTGGGGGACCTCCCCCTCCCCCTCTTAGAACTACATAAATCTTACCACAAAATAAACAAGAAAGAAGTTAAAGAGGTAAATAAAATTTTTAAAAAGTTAGAAATGGTAGACCTCTGGAGAAAACTGAATGGATATAGAAAGGAATATACCTTTTTTCTCAGTGGTACATGGCACCTACACAAAAAATTGACCATGCCTCAAGGCATAAAAACCTCACAGTTCAAGGGGCAGCTAGGTGGTACAGTAGATAGAGCACCGGCCCTGGAGTCAGAAGGACCTGAGTTCAAATCCGGCTTCAGACACATAACACTCACTAGCTGTGTGACCCTGGGCAAGTCACTTAACCCCACTGCCTAGCCAAAAAAACCTCCAAAAACCTCACAATCCAATGCAGAAAGGCAGAATATTAAATGCATCCTGTTCAGATCATGATATAATAAAAATTACAACATAGTAAAAGGCCATGGAAAGACTGGCTAAAAATTAATTGGAAACTAAATAATCTAATCCTAAAGAACGAATGGGTCAAACAACAAATCACAGAAACAAACAATAACTTCACCCAAGAACATGACAATAATGAGACAACATACCAAAATGTATGGGATGCAGTGGAAGCAGTTCTTAGGGGAAGTTTTATATCTCTAAATGCTTATACTAATAAAATAGAGAAACACTAATAAAATAGAGAAAGAGGAGATCAATGAATGGGGCACGCAACTAAAAAAGCTAAAAAAAGAACAACTAAAAATCTCCAATTAAATACCAAATTAGACATTCTGAAAACCAAAAGAGATTAATAAAATTGAAATTAAGAAAACTATTGAACTAATAAATAAAACTAAGAGCTGGTTTTATGGAAAAAAAAACCCACAATAAAATAGATAAAACTTTGGTTAATTTGATTTAAAAAAGAAAACCAAATTACCAGTATCAAAAATGAAAAGGGTGAATTCACCACCAATGAAGAGGAAATTAAAACAATAAGTAGGAGCTATTTTGCCCAACTGTATGCCAGTAAATTTGACAATCTTAGTGAAATGGATGAATATTTACAAAATATAAAATGTCCAGATTAATGGAAGAGAAAATACAATACTTAGACAACCCCATTTCAGAAAAAGAAATTAAACAAGCCATCAATGAATTCCCTAAGAAAAAATCTCCAGGGCCAAATAGATTTATAAGTGAATTCTATCAAACATTTAAAGAACAACTAATTCCAATACTCTACAAACTATTTGGGAAAATAGGTGAAGGAGTCCTACCAAATTCTTTTTATGATAAAAATATGGTGCTAATTGATACCTAAACCAGCAAGAGCAAAAACAGAGAAAGAAAATTATACATCAATTTCCCTAATGAATATAGATGCAAAAATTTTAAATAAATTATTAACAAAGAGATTACAACAACTTATCTTAAGTAGGATTTATACCAGGAATGCAGGGCTGATTTTAAATATTAGGAAAACTATCAGCATAATTGATGACATCAACAACAAAACTAATAGAAATTACATGATTATTTCAACAGAGACAGAAAAAGCTTGACCAAATGCAACACCTATTCCTATTAAAAAACACTAGAAAGCATAGGAATAAATGGAATCTCCTTTACAGTAATAAGTACTATCTATCTAAAATGATCAGCAAGCATTATATGTAATGGGGATAAGCTAGAAGCATTTCCAGTAAGATCGGGGTGAAACAAGGATGTCCATTATCACCAGTGTTATTCAAAATTGTACTTGAAATGTTAGCTTTAGCGATCAGAAAAGAAAAATAACTGGTAAGTTTTCTCAACTCAAACGTAAATTTGTTTCATTGCAATTTTTACCCATCATTCCTAATCCAAAATTCTAATCCTTCTTGTATGGGGTAGCCTTCAAACCACTCAAATAATCAAAAATAGTTATTAGGCTATGCATCAGGCACTGAGTTCAACAAAGGTAACAAAGAAAAAGAATTAAAGCATCCTGATTTCCAAAAACCTTATGTACAAATGTGGGTGCATGTATACACACACATATATACATATAAATATATATTGTTGTTATTCAGTCATTTCACTTAGGTCTGACTCTTTATGACCGCATTTGGGGTTTTCTTAACAAAGATACTGGTGTGATTTGCCATTTATTTCTCCGGCTCATTTTACAGATGAGTAAGCTGAAACAAATAGGATTGAGTAACTTGCTAGAATCACACAGGTACTAAATGTCTGACACAACAACTGAACTAAGATAAGACTCCAGGCCTGGTACACTATCCACTGCACCACTGAGCTGCCCCTTATGTAACTGTGGTCTACATATATTCCAGCTCAGTAGTTCTAGACATGCTCTAGACCCTCATTCTAGGTCTTTTCTTTTTTACTTACTTTTATTTTTAGCAATTATTTTTTCTCCTCCCTCATGAAACAAAAGACAAGAAATTTATAACCTTCATCACATACACACACACACACAGTCCAGCAAAAGAAATTTCCACATTGGTCACACTCCAAAATCTAAGTTTCATTCTATACTTTAAATCCATCACCTCTCCTGAAAGAAATGGGCAGCATGCTTATCTTTAACCCTCTGGAATCATGGTTTGCCTAGGAAAATCATTTACAGAGCAGTTGTCCATCTCAATGAACGTAGGTAACCTCCACATTGGGACTTCCCCATTAAGATGAAATCACAGGTCCAAAACAAAACAGACACACAGGCAATCTTTCTCCTTTCAAACACATTCTCTGTATAATTGGCAAATGGATATTCAAAAATCGTAAGCCAGAGTATGTCATTTTGTTCTAGGACTTCAGCAGCTTTCTTGACTGGGCAAGTAGGTGGTGCAGTGGAAAGAGTGTCAGCCTGGAGTCAGGAAAACTTATCTTCCTGAGCTGAAAATCTAGCCTGATGCTTACTGTGTGATTGTGTAATCTTCATTAAAATATTGCTGTTACTGAGTACAAGGACCACCTGCTTCTGCTTATTTAATCGGTATCTATTCATATAGGACTTCCCAGGTTTTGCCAAACCCATCCCCCTCATTTCTTAGAGCACAATAATATTCCATCACAATCATATGCAACCACTTCTTCAGCCATTCAGCAATTAATGGACATCCCCTCAATTTCCAACTCTTTGCCATCACAAAAAGACCTGCTATAAATTATTTATATATATTGGACCATTGCCGTTTTTTCCCCATCTGTTTGGAATACAGACCTAGCAGTGATACTGCCGTCAAAGGGTATAAGTTTTATAGCCCTCTGGGCACAGTTCCAAATTGTCCTCCAGAATGGTTGGACCAGTTCTGAACTGCGCATTAATATCCCTATTTTTCCAAATTCCCTCCAGAATTTGTCATTTTCCTTTTCTGTCATGTTGGCCAATCTGAGGTAGTGTGAGCTGTTACCTCAAAGTTGTTTTCATTTGCATTTCTCTAATCAATAGTGATTTACAGCTTTCATTACTGATAGCTTTGATTTCTTCACTGAAATCTCCCTGTTTATGTTCCTTAACCATAATGGGAATCTTATTGATTTTTTCATGTGTGTCACTAATTGGATGACAAGGCATTTGGCTACCATGAGAAGGTCATAGTTACTCCAGCTGTTTACCTGCACTTCAATGAATTTCTTCCCTTTGGCATTCAGAGCACTGGGCAGAAATCACATCAACATCTGCCACAGGCCCTTGTGATGCTTCAATTAACGTGATTTGAAATCTTTATGGTCTACAGTGATTACCCAAATGAATAAGAGCAGAAGCAGCACCAGCACCATCAGGAACAAAGCTCAGATTATGATTTATTTCTCAAGCACCGTCAATAATTATTCATCACTCATTAGGCTCAGGCTCATGTCATGGCCAAGAGGTCATCCCCAAGCATCTTGCATGCCATACGCCCAGAGATCAAAATAGATACTAAGGCTCTCCCAATACCACCATCCACTCAGTAACCTCTGACTCAGCCAGCATAACCTCTCCCTCCCTGAAGGCTCATGGGAGGATAACACTAAATCTTTGCCCATTTAGAGGCCTCTGCAGAGGGTCTTCTCCCATGAAGCTTAAATAAAGACTCCCTGAATTACATCTAGGGACTCAGAATCACAGTCCAGTCAGCTGAGGGAAGTTTTCCACATTCCTTATATTCATGAAGAATCACTCTAGTATGAATTCTCTGATGGACATCCAGTAGGTTCTTAGTCTAAAGACCTTCCCAAATTCAAAAGGTTTCCCTCCAGAATTAATTCTTTGATGCTGAGCAAGTTGTGTCTTCAGGTTGAAGGTCTTCCCACATTCACTGCCTTCATAAGATCTTTCTCCAGTATGAATGCTCTGATGTTGAATGAGATCTACATTCAGGTGGAAGGCCTTTCCTTGTACAATACACTCATAAGGTATGAATTAGGCCTTTCCACATTTACAACACACACAAGGCTTTTCTCCAGCATGAATTTTTGATGTTTAATAAGATCTGAATTGCAATGGAAGGCCTTCCCACACTCCTCACATTCATGAGGAATCTCACCAGGATGAATTCTCTGATGGACATAAAGTAGTGTCCTCAGTCTAAAGGCCTTCATACATGTGTCACACTCAACATTTCTCTCCTAAATGAATACTCTGGTGTTGAGTAAGTTTTATCCTCACTCTGGAGGTCTTCTCTCCTTCATTACATTCAAAAAGTTTCTCTACTGTATGAATTTTTTGATGTTAGTAAGACCTGAGTTGTACTGGAAACCCTTCTGATACTCCTTACATTTTTTAAAGAAAGTCTACAACATGAGTTCCCTTATGCACAGTAAGATGGTCCTTCCTCTTGAAGGCCTTTCCACATTCACTACATTCATAAGGTTTCTCTCCAGTATGAAGTTTCAGATGTTCAGTATGATGTGACTTCCTCCTAAAGGCCTTTCCACATTCACTACATTCATAAAGTTTCTCTTTAGTATGAATTCTTTGATGTTGAATAAGTTCTGAGTTGCAGGGACAAGCTATCCCACATGCCTTACATTCATAAAGAATCACTCCAGTATGAATTCCCTGATGCACAGTAAGAAGTGCCTTCCTTCTGAAGGTCTTCCCACATTCACTACATTCATAAGGTTTCTCTCCAGTATGAATTCTTTGATGTCGAATAAGGTCTGAGTTGTACAGGAAACCCTTCCCACACTCCTTACATTCATAAAGAAAGTGTCCAGTATGAAGTTTCTGATGCTGAGTATGCTGTGACTTCCTCCTGAAAGCCTTTCCACATTCACTACATTCATAAGGTTTCTCTCCAGTATGAATTTTCTGATGCAGTGAAAGTTGAATCTTAATCCTGAAGGCCTTCCCACATTCACTACATTCATAAGGTTTCTCTCCACTATGAATTATCTGATGTCGAGTAAGATATCTCTTGAAAGTAAAGGCCTTCCCACATACATTACATTTATGAGGTTTCTCCCCAGTATGAATTCTCTGATGCAATGAAAGTTGTATCTTAATCCTGAAGGCCTTTCCACATTCACTACATTGATAAGGTTTCTCTTCAGCATGAATTCTCTGATGTACTTTAAGTTGTGAGTTAGTCCTGAAGGCCTTCCCACATTCACTACATCCATAAGGTTTCTCTCCAGTATGAATTCTCTGATGTATAATAAATACTGAGTTGTAGAGAAAAGCCTTCCCACATTCCTTACATTTATAAAGAATGTCTCCAGTATGAATTCTCTGATGCACAGCAAGATGATTCTTGCTCCAGAAGGCCTTCCCACATTCATTACATTCAAGAGGTTTATCTCCAGTAAATCCTCTTCTTTCTGAAAGGAAGAATAAAGAGCTGATTAACCCTGCCTTTTTTAGCCTTTTTCCAAGTTTTCTAGTTGCTCAAAGTTTTAGAGCTGTTCTCTTGCCTTCTCACTTGAGAAGACTACTCTCACTAGTCTTTGACTAAGGATCAATTTATCTTATGTGAAAGTATCATGACTCAAAAAAAAAACAAAAGGAAAGTCCGATGACTCAAAGGTAACATATGTAAATGAACGGATTTAAGATGAAATTACTAGGAGGAATGAATGAAGCCTTACTTTACTTTAAGTGGCTAACATTTGAATGAAAAAAGAGTATTCAGAAAAAACAGATGACTTTGAGAACTTGCAAGTGCATTCTTACCATCTGAGGTGGAAATAGGAAGGAAAAAGACTGAACAGAAAGAAAATAGAGAACTGAGTTTAAAGTGAGGAGAAGAAATAGATACATGAAGTAAACAGAATAAACAAGAAATACTAGGGGGAAAATGTTTTAATTGTTGTCATAAATATCCTCTAAAGATCCAACACGTCTACTTTGTAAGAAATTGATTTAAATTTCTAAGAGTAAGATATACAAGTATTTCTGACAAGAGAAAGCATTAAAATTTACCTGAAACATTACTCAAACTCTGCTAACCAAAGAAGTAAAAATGAAAACAAATTGGAGCTACCAATAAATAGCCACCAGATTAGCAAAGATAATTTAAAGTGATAAATTTTGGCAGTTATATTGAAATAGCTACTTATTAAGCTGCTGCTGCTGCCATGTTCTGAAAACCAATAGCAATTTCAGCTACAGCTACAAAACTGTTGATATCCTTTCACCCAATGGTCCCACTACTAGGTTTATATATCCTCAAAATGTTACTGAAAGCAAAAAACTCTCTCTAAAATTTTCACAATACCTTTCTGTGAAACTGCAAAATGATGAAAATATATAGGTCCAAAGATGGGGTTATGGTTAAGCAAGTCATATGACACATTATTTGCCTTTATAAATATAATTTCAAAGCATAACAAAAAACAGCATGATACACGACAGACTGAAAAAAAGGAAATCAGGTTAGGATTAAATATTTTTAAAAGTAACAGCACCAAAGCAACATAATCATAAAAGCAACACAAGAGAAAATATCAGAAGAGAACTCAGAAGCAAAAAAGAATACATTAAGTAATGTGCTTATTTTTAAAAGGGAGAATGAATTCATGCAAATGAGTCAGATATTATCTATAAGTCTCAGCTCTTCTCAACAGGTCTGAGAAACTTTGATAGACCACCTTGTTCAACATTTTAGAAGAACGCTGACCTAAAATGACCAACAGAGCTGGATTTTGCAATGACCCATCTGCTTAGTTTTTATGAAGTCACCTGGACAGCTGCTTCTTGGAATATCTGCCTCTGGCATCCAAGACGCTTCCTTTCTTTCCAACTGGTAGATCACATCTGGTTTGGAAATGGCAAATCCTGTTTGTTGAAAATGAAAAAGTGCTAGGGAGTCATCTTAACAGAGAGATGAAATATTCTTATTAGAAAGGTAGGGGGATAAAGGTCCCGAATATATGTTATACCATCAAGGGCAATATGTTAGCTCATGTTGCCTGAGATTTTTTTTTCCCCCAACTAAGAGAGGCTTAATGGGCTGGCTGGAGGAAGAAGTAGGGTTGTTCCTTTTTTTTTTTTAGGTGGCAGGGGGGAAGAGAAATTACATTTTATAAAAATCATCTATAAAACTTACATTGTGTATGATGAAACCTACATTGGGATTAAAAAGAAAATCTTGGATTTGAAGCAACAGAGAGGAAGATACATTCTCAAGGATAACAACAAATCAAGAAATCAATTTCCAGGCATACTAAGCAAAGATCTTTTTCCTGAAAACAGGCAGCACAAGTAATCTGGCCCTTGGCTACAAAAGGATTAGGAATATTTTCCTCTTGTACACCAAAGAATAACGTTAAAATCTTGAAAATTGTCATATCAGGATTGCAAAGGGGTAGCTTTTCTTACCCAAAGAGACCAAGTTCCTATAGTTCTCTAGCATCATATCCTTGTACAACTTTTTCTGAGATGAGTTCAATTGTACCCACTCCTCCTGGGTGAATTCCACAGCCACATCCTTGAATGTCACTGATTCCTGAAATACCAGAAACATTTGTTCTTACCCAGCTGTAATTCTAACTGTTACGAAGTTCAAATGTAAACTGCATGCCAGCAAGGTGAGGGAATTGAGGGTTTTAGGAAACCAAGTGGTACAGGCAATTGAGGCAACTGAGTCAACCACATTGACCCCCATTTTGTGACCCAATTTTGGAGGTAGCTCAGTTCTTTTTCTGTTCAATTATAGGTCTAGTCCAACTTCTGCCTTGTGAGAAAAAGTTTTTCAATTGTGGGAATTGGGAGAAAATATTATTGCATTGTTTGAACTTATCCCTGCGTGACTGGGAAACGAGACCACCTTCACCTGCTATTTAGAGACTCATAACTAAGGACCTAGGTTATTCTGACCAGAAACCCAGTCAGATCCAAAAATTCTGATGTAAGGAATTTTCTCACAATTGCACATCTCAAGCAACCAACATCTTACCTGAAAATGGATCCCATACTGAGTAATTGTTTGTTTCCATGTTCCTTTGATTGTATACAGACACTTAGGGGGAGTGAGACACCTCATTTTCTGAATTCAGGGAACTGAACCTGTTGACTTCCCACCTCCCAACCTGGAAAGTTCCTCATCTTTCCTCCAATTAGAAATCAGATTACCTAATACTGTACTGTTTGCTTTTAATTAATTGGTCTTCTTTGATTGTTTTTAATGTATAAAAGTATGTCTCCCCCTATATTCAGGATCTAGCCCTAAGCTGAGGAAGGGGCCTGCTTCGAGTTTGCTGTGCAATTACCATGCACTGCTTAATACACTGATATGCTCAAAAGACAAAACATTTATTTCCTCAGTCATTTCATCTTTCATTTGCCACAAGCGATTGTTTAACTTACTCATTTGTTCCCAGTACAGTGCCTGCTATGTAGCAGGCACCTAAGAATTCCTTTACCAGAAAGAATTGATAAATAGAAGTTGTATAGAATGATCTTACATGGGGGTGTGTGTGTGAAATTGTAGCCATCTCTAGGGTTGGGAATGGAAGGGAAAAATAGAAATTTACATGATAACTTTATTATATATTTAAAAGGAAAAGCAAGTTGTACGTAATAGATTTGAAGTTTCATGTGCAATCATCTTTTTTAAAAAAGTATACTGTTTTGGAAATGTTTGTTTTATTCCATAAATTAAAAATTAAATGAATAAAAATGCTTAGAAAAGAATTCCTCTCCAATTAGTCTGTAAGCTCCTTAAGGGCAGGAGCCATCACTGCCATCCCTTGTAACCTCTCTACTTAGCACAGTGCTGGTACTCTGAAGGTGCTTAATAAATGCTTACTGTTGTAAACGGTTCCAATGACATCAATTTTAAATGTATGTTGTTTTTTGGCTTAAGGAGGGAATAATATACACACTCAATTGGGTTTGGAAATCTATCTTATTCTACAGGAAAACAAGGGGGAAGGAGATAAGAGATGTGAGGATGATAGAAAGGAGGGCAGATTGGAGGAGAGGGTAATCAGAAACAAACACTTTTGAGGAGGGACAGGGTTAAAGGAGAGAATAGAATAAACAGGGGGCAGGATAGGATGGAAGGCAATATAGTCAGACTTTCACAACATGACTATTATGGAAATGTTTTGCATGACTACACAGGTATAACCTATATGGAATTGCTTGCCTTCTTTTTTCCTAATTTTCCCTCAATCTCTCTTATTTGATTTTGAATTCCTTTTTAAGTTCATCCAAGAGCTCGCTTTAGGCTTGTGACCATTTAACACTGCTCTTTGGGGGTAGTAGGAGTGGCTTTTTTTACCTCACTGGTTTCCTCTGAATATGAACCCAGATCTTCTTTTTCACCAAAGCATCTACCTATGGTTGGGTTCTTTTCCCTTTGCTTACTCACTTTTATTTATTTATCTTTGGCAGTTTGTTATTATGATCATGTTTTAAGCCCGAGTTGTGGGTAATGTTGCCCTAGGCCTCAGATCTTCCTTACTGTTATTTTTTGAATTCCGTGGAAGGGCTCAACCTCAGGGACTCCTCTCCTCCCCTGAACAAGTTAGGACCCCCAGACATGCTGTCCCCAAAATGTTCTTGCTTCCTGAAGTACTGCACTCACTGTGCATGTGCTCCCTTCTCCTCACCAACAGCCATAGCCTGGGATCACCTCTGGTCAGCACCACTAGACCCAGCTTCTGCAAACAGGTGTGGGGGAGGGCAGGAGGAGAGGGCTCTTCAATCTTCCCACACTCAGCCATCTGCTGTTCCTTAGATAAATTTTGAGGTACAAGTTTGTGAAGTGAAATGTCTTGAGGCCTAGTCAGCTTCCTGACAGAGCTGATCCAGGGCCTGTTATTTGTTGATTCAGTGGAATTGGCTTGGAGGTGACTATGCTTCATTCAGGCCAGACCTCAGCCCTTGGAGGTCCTTTCTTTTCTGAGGTCCTCTCAAGTTGTCTTAGGAAGACAACTGCCTTACCCCTGTATTTTTGCCACTCTCCATACATTTGGTGGCAACTTTCTGTCTGTCTGAGAAGGAAATCTGGAGAGCCTAGAAATTTCTGACCTACTCTGCCATCTTTCCAGAATGTACAATATCATTACTGAATCTATACACACCAAATACTATAGCATCTAAATTTTTACCAAAAAAAGCTAAATGAATTACAAGTGGAGAGAGATGGTAGTACTATAATAGTCAGGAACTTTAAGTTTCTTCTCTTAGACTTAGATCAATCTAAACAAAAAATAAATAAGAAAGATGTCAAGGAAGGGAATAGAATTTAAGATAAGCTAGATATTATTGATATCTGGAGAAACCTGAATGGAAATAAAAAGGAATACAACTGATAAATAAAACTGTGTATAGGATAATTTTACAGATACTTGTGTGTGTGTGTGTATATATATATATATGTATGTATATATATATATATATATGAGAAAAAAGAGAAGAAAAATACATTTACATGACAACTTTATTATATATTTAAAAGGAATAGCAAGATGTGCATAATAGCCTGGCAGTTTCATATGCAATTATCTTTTTATTATACTATGCTATGGAAATGTTTATTTTATTCCATAAATTGAAAATAAATTCAATAAATATGAAAAGAAGAACTAGGAGAAGACTGGGCACAGTAGTATGGGCACAGTAATAATGATTAACTGTGAAAGACTCGGCTACTCTGATGAATACAATGATCCATGAAAATTCCAAAGGACTCATAAAAAATGAAGAAAGAATTGCCAGACTTTGAGTGCAAATTGAAGCATATTCTTTTTCACTTTCATTTTTCTTGCATTTTTTTGGACTATGGCCAATATGGAAACGTTTTGTATTACTTCACATGTATAATAGATATCCCATTGCTTGCCTTCTCAATGGGTGGGGGAAGGACTAGAGGGAGGAAAAGAATTTGGAATTCAAAATTAGAAAAAAAAAAGGAAACTATAGTCTCTTTTTGTGGGAAAAGGATAAATTGGTGTCTGTGGTTATGATTCTCTGATGCCCACAATTCCTAGTGTTATAGCACAGGACAAAGAAACCTATCCCACGGTCTCTGGCCTGAGATGCTATTTCAGGAAAGCTGCAAGTGGCACTTACCTTCCCGGGCCCGGCTGTCGGGGCAGCAGCCATTCCCTCTTCCTCCAGGCTGTCCTCCTGCGGCAGAGCAGAGGCCACAGAAGGGAGAACTGGGGAGGAAAGGAAAAGCAGGAGAGTGAGGGGTCACTCTGAGGGTCTGCCCTGCTCAGACCAGACATTTCCACTTCTCCACTGACAGGAGATCAGGGAGTGGGGCGGGGAGCTGGGGGCGTGACTGAAGAATTAGAACCCTCCCCCAGGCTCCGCCTCCGCCCGGTCGGCCTCCAACCTCCCCCGTCCCCCGCCCCGCCCCGCCCGGGCTGCCCCCAGACCCCTGGGAGCCCCTCGGGGGCTTCCTGCCTCCTCTGCCGGACGCTCCTCCTATTCTCCGTGAGCTCCCCAGCCAGCCCCTGGTGCTCCGACCCCGCCGCACCCCCGCAGCCGGCTCCGCCTGGGCCTAGCCCCGCTCTCGGCCCTGCTCACCCGGTCACACTTCAGCCCTGGACAGAGAAGGGGAAGGAGACACAAATAACCACGGAAAAGGGTGAAAGAGGAGCGGCAGAAGTGACGTAATGACCAGCCCACTCCTTGGGAAAATGCCCCGGAAGTGAGTATGGCCTTCTGGGAATCGTAGTCTGGAGGCTGAGGCCCCTTCTGAGCATGATTGGTGCTCAGCCTCTCCTCGGGCCTGGAATGCGGTCCTGCCTCCCTGCCTGCCCCGCCCCTCCCGCCAGGAGCCCCGCCCCCTCCTACTGTCCATTCCTCCACTTACCTAGAATAGCAATCTTTTGCTAAATGGGCCAAATAAACTCAGAGCTGACATTTACGTGGAGCGTACTGTGCTCCAGGCACTGCTAAGTACTTTACATTGACTATCTCCTCTGGTCCTCACAACAGCCCTGGGAAGCAGGTGCTGTTATAGACCTTATTTTATAGATGTGGAAACTAGGGTGAAGTGACGTGTGCAGGGTCACACAGTTAGCAAGTGCCTGAACTTGGATTTGAACATTCTTTTCTATGCTTAACATTTACACAAGTGGAAATTATAGAATACAAGTTTGCTTACCTTTTATGTGATAGACATGTATTTTTAAAAAAAATTTTATCCCTGGGTCAGATAAACTTTTTAAAAAAATAATTGTAAGGTGTTTTTTTTTTAATTTGTTAAAATATCTCTCAAATAAAGCAAAAACATCTGATTATTTGCTGTCTTAAGTGATTTTTGTTTTGTTTTGGGTTTTGGTTAGGCAGTTGGGGTTAAGTGACTTGCCCAGGGTCACACAGTAAGTGTCAAGTCTTTGGTCTGAGCCTGGATTTGAACTCAGATCCTCCTGACTTCAGGGCTGGTGCTCTATCCACTGTGCCACCTAGCTGCCCCCTTAAATGATTTTTAACAATAAGTTAACCTTCACTTTGTTCATTTCTCTTAATGATTTGCATGGTTTTTTTTCCTATTTTTCCTAGTGTAATCTGTGAAATTGCTTATTGATTACTGATTGATTGTTAAAGAGTTTTTTGTTAAACAATGGAATAAATAGCTATGGATCAGGTTTGAATTTAGTACCATAAATCTTAATAGTAGATTTTAAAAGAGCTTTTGTACCCAAATTTTAAGACTATAAGCTTGTCCTGTCTTCTGACAGAGGTAAGTAAGATGGGTGGTAGATGAGTCAGCCTGGTCAGGAGATGTTTTGCCCAGCACTGCGTTTTTCTGATGCTAAGTGGTATCTGTCATAGGAGTTTCTAGTGGATGTTAACTAAATGCATTTTTCCAGTTGCTATGGATTTTGGAGACCCCCTCTTAACAAGTTAACATGATTCTACCAAATGTCACCTTGATTTATATTAAGAGGGTCATAATTTCCAAGAATAGGGAAGTAGTCCCAGTGCCCTAGTCAGTGCACACCTGAAGTACTGCCAGGTACTGGGTGCTATGGTCTAAGAAGGACGCTGATAAGCTGGAGAGGGTCCAGAGAAAGGCAGCTGGGATGGTGGAGGGCTTTGACTCTATGACATGAGAAGATCATTGGAAGGAAGTGGGATAATTAGCCTGAAGAGAAGATTGAGGGGGAACATGATAACTGTCTTCAAGACAGAAGAGATTCTACTTTTCCTGTTTGGCTGCAAAAGGCAAAAGCAAGAGGAGTGGGTAAATGGTGCAAAGTGGGAAATTGAGGCTTAATGTCAAAAACTTCCTAACAATTACAGCTGTTCAAAAGTGGGATGAGTTGCCTTGAAAAGTGGTGGTTTCCCCTCCTTGAAGGTCTTCAAGCAGAGGCTGAGCTACCAATTGTCAGGTGTGCTATAGTGAATGGGGATTCCTTTGGTACCTGAGTTGGACTGGATTGCCATCGAAATCTCTTCCAACTCTCACATTTTGTAATGGTGTAAATCCCGTAGCAATGCTTAATTTCTTCTACCTGGGAGTCAAATTAGCCCCAAAATGTGAAACAAGCAGCACATTTCTTTAAAATGTCACAACTAAGATTTGAAAGGAGAGTAGACGTAAGTGGACTGACATTCCCTCATAATACTTCAAAACTCTGAACAGAAAAGCAGATCCTAAAAACAGATGAGATGCATGGTGTTCCACACCAAATAGGTCTTCAATTAAGAGAGAAAATAGCAGCTATGAAAACATTGCACCAGTGAATTCACCGAAAAGTAGCAGGAATTCTGCTCTTACCACCTGGCACCACCTACAAAGCTCATCAGGGAGAAAAGTACACTTTGAAGAAATTAAATTGATTCCTTACCATTTTATAATTAATTCTATTCAGTAATTGATCCTATTCTGTATTACTGTCCCATTTTGTATGATTGTTCAAGCCACACTTTTTTGTCTCTTGGCCTATGAGCTAAGTTTAGAATTTCAGTTCTCCTGTGAATCACTGTTCTGTTCTTGCCTGAAGGGAATGTTATCCTTGAGGAATGCGGGTGGATACTAGGGATCTGGTCCAACATCTCTAACCTTACAGGAGGATTCAAACAATGAACATTTCTAAGTCAGAGGAGTTTAGCTACTTTCTGAGTTAGGTCAAAGGAAACTTATTATCCCTTTATACCTTTAGCTCCTGGAAAATCCAATGACATCATCTTGCTATCTTTGAAGGCCTAGAAGCTGACCTGCTACATTGCCACTAAATATATTGTCCATCCGTGCATTTCCTTGTATGATTATGGAAGGTCTTATCTCCCCCCAGGAGCCAGGGAGTCTCCTACCTGGGCTACTATCAATAGCCTCAGGATATAGATGGGTCTCCTAAATCAATCCAGCATTCCTCTAAGACCGAGAGGGGTATTCGCTAGTCCCACCCAATCATGTGTTCTTCGCCCCTCGATGCTACCAACCCTATAACCATTTGTATTATTTGCTTCGCCTACCCAGTTCATTCTTGGTTGTATTCTTATAAAAAGGAGCTGCACCTCTTCTGTGTCGCTGGACTAACTGAGAGAGTTTTTTGACTCACATTATTCACAGGTTCACACCCTGGTAACAAATTGATAAAACTCAGACTGCTGTACCTCAATTGACTTTTATTAAAGACTATCAAGGCAGCTTCTACCCCGCTGGAGGAGTCTATGTAAGGTACTGTTAGCAACCAAAATTGCTCTCCATACACAAATCCCTGTTACGGATCCACACAGCATGCTGTGAAAGAACCTCTTCATTGGGAAGCCAGCCTCCCTTTCACCTCCGTACCATAAAGTACCTGAACGTTTGCCCCTGGAATCAACAGCTTTGCCCCTAGCATACACCGCTGTTGCCCCACTAGGACTAAGGAAAAAGAACCCCAAAGGGGACACACCAGCCTCTTTAAACAATCTAGATTTCTATTTTTATTCTGTGTGGGAACTTGATTCTGTCCCCCAGAACTCCTGACCTAGATATCATGTCAGCAAATTCCTCAAAGATGAGAAGAAATGGAATAATAAGTGAGGTAGGCTTTACAGGAAGTTTGGTTAAGGCAAGGAAGAGAGACACATTATACCCACTTCAGGGGGATGGTAAGGTCTAGTGGCATTTTTTGTGTGTGTTTTTTAAACTACATTAGGTGATTAGTTCCTTATGAATTCACAGAATTTTCTTTAGAGAATCCATCATTTTGCTCTTCATTGGACTCGTTTCTCTTTGAATCATAAGAAATTCATTCTTGAAAGCTTCCCATAGCTCTCATTCTGAGATCCTCACACATAACTATTTTTTCCTATGAGCATGACTATCTTTTTTTTTCAAATCCTTGAAATCTCTGCCAAAATTGAGGGCACATGTCAAACTTTTCCCAACTTACCTTTCCTTTGTGGGGAAAATACTTTTTTTTATTAATATGGTTTGAACCCAGCCTTATACAGTAGGAATTACTTAACCCAAAGCTTACCATAGTGTTAACACTGACCTCAGAGATGCTCTAGGGAAGACAGATGGCTGCAAGATTACATTCAGTTCTAAAATGGTTTGGCTCCAGCTAGGCTTTAGGGCCACCCGACAACTTTTGAGCTGTTCAAATCTGATTGAATGTTTACACTTTTGTGCTGATACACAACTCGACCAACCCTTTCTGAAAACTGCCTACGGGCTGGCAACCAGCTGCTTGTCATTAAGTCCTTCTCTGAACCCTATATAATGTCAACTTTTCAAGACTTGAGAGAGGAAGCCATACCCTTATCTGGCTCTCTCCTCTGCTGAATCAACCAAATTCTTTCAAAAAAGCTTTTTTCAGTTTAGGGGGTTTGCTGTCAACTGACATCTTCTCTAACACAATCTTCAACACAATCTCTAGATTGGCTTGGCCACTTGCTCCCCGGCTTTTCATTAGTTCCACTCTTGTGACGAAAATTAGGTTCAGAATAGAATTTTCATTACTGGACTCCCATTCTTCTTGAAGTTTGACATTGTCATTCAGACTTGTCAGGGTATTTTATCTTTTCTCTTCTTGCCCCAGAGGAAGGTAGGGGGCATTATCAAATGTCCAAATAACCGAAGTCCCTCATCACTACTGTATTATGACTATGTGATATGCTTATTCTCTGTCAAGTCTTTATCAATTTCTCTTTTCTTTCCCATCATCTTTAATGAATGAACAGAAACACAGACTCCTGTAACTTGGAGCTAGAGGCTTCAGTGGCTGTTTCATCCAACATGTGTAGAATCAATTGTTCTTATACATTCTTAGTAAATAGTTGTTTTTTTTTTTCTTCACTAGGCAATCAGGGTTAAATCACTTGCCCAGAGTCACACAGCTAGCTAGGATCAAGTGTCTGAGGTTGGATTTGAATTCAGGTCCTCCTGACTCCAGGGCTATTGCTCTATCCACTGTGCCACCTAGCTGCCCAGGTAAATAGTTTTTTTTCTAAAAACTGATTAAGTCGGGTTAGCTAGGTGGCACAGTGGATAGAGCACCAGCTCTGGAGTCATGAGGACCTGAGTTCAAATCTGGCCTCAGACACATAACACTCACTTAGCTGTGTGACTCTGGGCAAGTCACTTAACCCTAATTGCCTCACCCCCCAAAAAAAAAATTGCATAAAAACTGATTAAGTCTTGGTCCCTGTTCATGGGGCAGCTCACTGAATTCACTGAATTCCTTCACTTTCACATTCAGAACACTGGGCTCTAAGAACTTCATGTAAGAACTCAGAATCATAGTCTAGACAGCTATGGGATCCTCCCCC